TTGGCTCCCTTAGGCAGTATGCAGCACAGCTGAAAGGGTGTCATGTTAGATTATGCAAAAAAGTATAGCACGGACACCTGTTATTTAAATTTTGTACTCAAAACGTCTATCAGCTGCCTTTCTACCTTATAGGAACCCAAGGTGGCTATTAGGTAACCAAGAGAATGACAAGGGTAAGAAAATTATTTGACAACGTGAATTTGATGCATAAGCATCTTCTACAGACATACCTTTATGAATTTCATGTTAAATATCTGAAAGTGAAGCAGTATGCTGAAACAGTAGCAGAAAGCAGATCTACCCAGAACACAGAGGCAGATGTGATCGACAGCCTGTACAAATTCCTTAGGAGTGTCATTAAATGTCACTGGGTGGATGCTGACCTTGGTGCCACCGGAGGCAGGCACGATGCAGAAGCAACCCATTACACAGACAGAGCCAGAAGATTTGGAGCACACGTGAAGCTGCCTTATACTGAGTCTGCTCTATCACGGTTAGTACTGCCTACTCTGATTGGCAGTGGCTCTCCAGGGTAGGGGGTTTTCCTATCACCTACCTGATCCTTTTTCTGGAGATTCCGGGGATTGACTCTTGGGATCTTCTGCATCCCAAACAGATGCTCTGGACTGAGCTCTCCTTAATCTATCAAACTTACCCGTCTGAACCACAACTCAGTGAAGCAATGCTGGCAACAGAACTTGTGTGTCTGTGTGTGTGTGGGTGGGTGGAATCTGAAAGAGCCCCCTTGTAAACTGCAACAAGCGAAGCATCATCTTCTTTTAAAATGAATTATTTTAATTAACGTGATGTTGGCTCCATAAGGAGAGGTTCGATAAATGTTTGGTTTTTCATTAGTTGGAAAATATGTCATTTGTCCACTGCAGCTAGAAAAAAAATCTCATTTGACAGCTGCATTTTTTATGAGTTGGGGAGGAAAAATGTCATTTGTCAGCTCCAGTTGGAAAAGTACTAGCACCTGGGAATCAAACTGGCCCAAGAACTTGTTTGTACAGCTGCTTAGAAAGGAAAATTCTGTTGGACAGGAACGGTCGGGCTAAAAATATGCAGACAGAATAATGCAGAAGAATACTGCTGCTTTGTGGTCCTGTCTGGCAAACAATGAGAAACTGGTTTTATAATTGATTTAATTTTTAAATGGAGATAAAACGGAAGGCCCAACTTAAATA